CTGCTGCTGCTACAGCTCTTGGGAATGAGGACGCGAAGGATTCCCGTTAAATAAACGAGTCATTTTTTCTTGATTTCAGAGTTCCTTAAAAGTTTCGCTGTACTGTTTTCAAGACATGTTCCCCCTTCTTCTCATTACCTTACAACCGACTACGCCATGCGAGACACACAACAAGCACGGGGAGAAAACAATACAGAAAAAAAAATAGGCGTCAAAAGGCTTGTGGGGCGGAGAGTCTTTGGCTCTTGAGAGTCCCGCGGGCCATTCCAATGATAACGGCAAGGCCTGTCGCCGCACTGCGTTAGCCGTCCAGCAAAGTGCGGGCCTTGAACTCGCGCCCGTTCAGCGATGCCATTCCCGCAAGCTGCAGTTCCTTCAACGCCCGCAGAAGCTCCTCATCGGAGAGCTGACAAACGCGCCGCAGCACAGAAAAGGACACATACTTCTGCCTGGCGCTTGTGTGGGCCAGCGCGTGGGCTGTGAGAATGTGCAGCACCCGCACGCCGTCCGGGATTGACGTGCTGAAGAAATTGTTAGACGCCACAAGCCCACATAGGTTAGCAGCCACAGGACCACCGTCATTGCCGCTGCCATTTCCACCGTCACCACTTCGGTTGTTGTTGGTGAGGGAACTAACAGCACGCTTAACCTCATCGAGTGACTCTTGAGGTGGCATCACAGCCAGGAGGGCCGATCGCCGCAACTCCGACATGAGCGGCGCCTTTGCTGAAGGCAACGCCATCGCAGGGGGTAGCACAACAACGGCTCGTGTCGTTTCTTCGGCTTGCGGCTGCTGTTGCTGCTCATGATGATGATGAGCATGATGATGGCCGCACGGCACGTCACTCAGTACGCTGCTGGGTGTGTACAGCGGCACACACGATGCCAGCGCCTCATGGAAAACGAGGCCAGCGCCATCGTTTCTTTTATGCCAGAGACGCTGCAGCACCGCCACCAAGCCTGCCAGACGCTGCAGCCGCTCCGGTCGACGCCAGACAAGGTCTTCGTAGAGTACCGCGAATGCCACGGCCTCGTTCAGCGGATGCCCATCGGCCCACTGAGCCGCAGCATCAAGTAGCGCATTAAGAATATCCACGCTGTCCGCAAGTCGGCACATGCCATCGTCCTCTGCGTCGGGGCCATTGTTCATTGTTGCTGTTGGCGCTGCTAGCGAGTGGGCGCCGCGGTAGCGTGACGAGGAGAGCGCAAACGGGCTGAGCAGCGTGTGGAAGCCTACCACGACGTCGCCGAGTTGGCGCCGCGTGGCCCACAGTGCCTGCAGCTGCCGCAGGGCTGTTGGGCGCAGCAAGACCGGAAAGCGGCGCAGCGCCTCCCGCAGGAAACAACACAGCGGTAGATTCTCACGGCGCACAAAGAAGACACTCGAGTCACGCCGGCGCGCAGCCTCCTCCGCTGCAGCATTCGATTGTTGCAGCTGCTGGTCCCGTGACCCTCCTGCACGCTCACAACTGTCATCGAAGGGCGCGGCCGTCGCCACACCTAACCACACCTCAAGGCGGTGAAGAAATCCGGCGCTCTCGTCGTCATTGTCGCGCTGCGCAACACACGCAGTGGGTCCACGGAAGAGCTGCACGTAATAGTCGCGGCTCAGCGGCTCGCGAAGAGCCTCCTCTAGAAGTGCGCCACCGTACGCAAGGTCATCTGGCAGCAGTAACACGGAAAAGCGTATACGTGTCTGGTGTGAGGCTTGCCTGGCCCGGCACAGCACCGCCATCGCGCTGACATCGTGCAGGAATAGCAACAGCGGGTCGCGGGGGGGGCGCGATCGTTCGGTGCCACTACCGCCACCGCTTTCGTCAGCGCAGCACCGCACAATGAAGAGGACACGCCGCACACACAGCCCAGCCGTGTCGCGGGGTGACGATGTCGATGATAAAACCCACGCAGAAGCAGCAGCAGTGGATTCCGTCTCGTGACGGCTGCGCTTCACGGCAGCGGCGGAGCTACGAGAGTGGTGCACGCCACCTTCCGCCGCATACACCGCGTCGCACCACGCCCGCACCGCCTCCATGCAATTTAGGCGGATGATGCTACTACTGCTGTTTTGGCGGCCCCAGCCCTTCTGCTGCAGGGAATCCCCAGCGTTCCGGCTCTCTGGCATGAGGTTGACGGCGAACACGCGGAAGTCGCAGCGCTCGAAGTTCTGAACTAGCGCTGACCGCTCGCCTGACGATGATACCGACACGAGCGACACATCCGCCGCGATCGCCAGCGGAATGTAGTCGTAGCAGCTGAGTAGCAAGTTGGGAATCCGCGGCAACGGTGCCCCACCACCACCGCCGCCGCCGCCAGCAGAAGCACCAGCACCAGCAGTGTGGGTGTGCGGTATCTCCTCCCACGCCTCGCCGCGCAGAAAGGCGACCAACGCGCCTAGCCCCTCTGGCATCAGAAGTGCCGATACACGTGCGGCGGCACCGTCGAGAATTGCGAGGGCATCGCTCATGCCTACTTTCTTTGTCTGTATATCACCACCACTTCTTCACTTTAGTTCTTTTCTTGTCTGCCTCCTTCTTTGCGGTTTGCAGTGGCTACAATGAAATGTGTGCGAGGGGGACAAAGAGGGATGAATAGGACTGACTGGAGAACGCCACCGCGAGGGGACGACGTAGGAGAGTTAGGAGATCCTTGGTGTCGCTGCAGCTGCCGCAGGATAAGGATTCGGCGCACACATATATACATCCCACCGGCCCGCACACACGCACACAGACGCTACGGCACGTGACAGAAACGCGAGCAGTAGAGCACACCGTCGGCGGCCGTGTCCGCGCAGTCAGAATGCACGCTACTGCCGCAGCTACACAGGAGAATTTCATCTGGCTCAACAGGTAGCTCGCAGACAACACAGAAACAGGAAGAAGCAGAGTCCGGTGCAGCAGCAGCCGTCTTTGCTGAAACGAGTGTGGGGAACAGCACCCCTCGCACCTCGCCGAAAATCTGCATGTATGACTCTCGTGCTTCTGCCTCCTCGTCATTTCGCCGTGTGGTTTCACCACATGTCTTAGAAGCTGCCACATCCTCTGGTGCTGCTGCAGCTTCTACATCTGCTGTCAACGTCGTTTCATCGCTCATCTGCAGCGCAGACCTTATGCGAGCGACACGAGTCCGCTCCCGCTCATGTTGCCGGCTGTAATACTTTTCGTCGTCGTACTCATCATCGCTGTTGCTGCAACTGCTGCTGCTGGTAGTGGTGGAGGACGCGTCACTTCGGCTCCCGTCGCCGTCGCGCGAAATCGCCTCCTGCACTGCGGCGTCTGCAACGGCCAGCGACGGCGCGGCGCGTATCACCGGCGGCCGCGGGAGCGGCGGCACGTCATCC